AAGGACTTGTATTGCTGAAGTTTCTCGGAAAGATTTTTTATGGGAAATTATCAAACGAGCAGATTCCTTTTTAATGTCTCCCAGTGGCACAGCGGTATGTCTGCGGACTTACAACGCTAGAAACCGGATTTCGATACCCGTGGTGGGCAGAGCACAGATAGCCCTTGTGTAGCTTTGTGCATAATTAAAAACAAACAAACAATCCTTTTTAATAATGTATGTTAGTTTTGTACATTTATTACTATCAACGAAATTATTTTTTTAAAATAAAATTCTAAAATTGTGATAAAGTTAGTTTAATGCAGAATTTCAAAGTATGACTTCCTAGTGGAGAATCATTGTGATATTTCAGAAAAAAATGACTTTTTATGATGGAGAATCCAAACGTACGCTATAAATTGAACTGACTGAAGGAATCGCAAGTCCTTCGTACAATGTTCGTTGCATACAAATTTGCAGCAATTTATGTTGTTACTCGATCTTCGTAAGTTACCCAAGTATTTTTTACTTCAGCGTGAGTATAAAGTGATCAAAAACATCGAAAATCACGATGCCAAAAATTGCCAAACGGAAAAGTGAGTTATCACGGAGAAAGTCTGAAACTTCTTTGAGAAAGAAAATAAAACGTCAGGATGCAGAAAGAAAGAGCAGGAAAGCTTGTTCACCAAGTTATGATGCGAGATGCAGAGAGAAGTCAGAATCAAACCCATAATACAGAAGCACATCAAATTTTTCGCCAAGATGCAGTTAGAAGAAGTCAGGAGGAATTTTGTGACAGAGAAGCACACCGTTCGGCTCGCCATGATCCCGATCGAACAGTAGTACCTAAAAGGCGTTTCTGTTAGTACAATGATAACATCGGAGGTTCTATTCCTTGGGGAGGAAAGAGCGCAGACAGTCTATATTGTAATTTTACGCTAAAACGAAAGAACATATGCTCCATATTATTAATATTTGAATGGATTAAGGGGATTCCGTTTTTCATAAGTATCCCTGAACATTGACAACGAAAGAACAATACTATGGCCATGTAATTATAGTAAATATGGTCAATACAGGATTTGGAAAAATACCATAAACACATTTTAGTGTGTTTTGATAAATCTGAAACGAATGTTTTACATGAAAAAAAGTAACACTGTTGGTAACATTATAATAATATATTATTCATCTGATAGGTAATCCATTGTAATGTTGGAGTTTTTGTGGTACATAACATTAAAAATACACACTGGTTTTGGTTCTAAATAAATCCACATCAATATTTATTGCGCTATTTCTGTATGTACCATTTATGTATAGCAAGGCTATTTGTCTATGTCCCTGATTTTGAACCACTGACGAGAGGGTACTACAGATGTTCACTGTCACTCTTATAACATCATAACATTAACAATTAATATTCTAGTTAAATTGTTTATGTTGAAGCGAATACTTATTGCTTTGATAAGCACTGTAATACCTTAGATGTTATCGAATATAACAGACAAGACTCTATATAAATGCAAATAGAAACAAACACTTTATTAACTCAAGCACAGGTAAATATGTCAATAGATGGTGATAAATGGTGGCACTATTTAATTAAAATGAAATATAAATTGTAATTAAATGAAAATAAAGCTGAATTCCTTTTTAAACTAAAAACTGGCTTAGTGAACTTCAAATTAAGGGTAGCACGCCTGGATAGAAGAATGAAAATTAACTCTAAACAAGCGAGAAAAAACAAATAAAAACGAAACTGTACAACAGTCCTGTCTCTTTGAAAAGAGAAAAATATCTCACTGAAACAATTAAAACTGCTTTCATACCCATATTATCTCTCTGTGGTTGAACAATTACAGACTTGATCACAATCATCTGGAAATATCGTTACATGTGACAAGTTTAAAATATCTCACTGAAACAATTAAAACTGCTTTCATACCCATATTATCTCTCTGTGGTTGAACAATTACAGACTTGATCACAATCATCTGGAAATATCGTTACATGTGACAAGTTTAAAATATCTCACTGAAACAATTAAAACTCCTTTCATACCCATATTATCTCTCTGTGGTTGAACAATTACAGACTTGATCACAATCATCTGGAAATATCGTTACATGTGACAAGTTTAAAATATCCTTACACTCCGGATGATGTGGGATACAATACAACTATTCTGTGAAACATGATACAAAATTCTTAACTGACTTAAGCAACACCTATGGCTAAATGAGCACATGACTGGATTCAATGGGCTCCGAATGAGAAATATGGAGCAATTTTAAAGCTTTGTTACTATATTTATGACATATGCCACATACAAAGGAGTAAGGTAAGTGATATCTGCTTACCACAATAGTCGATAAAGTTGGTTGTAAAATACAAATTAATGAGATTACTTTTTTCAAGTATAATTGAAGATATTTGAAGAGTTTCATAAATCGTAAAACAGAGTTTCTCATCCACGTACAGAAATAAGGATTTAAGTTTACTTTTTTTTATTATTTATATTTAAAGCTAACTCAAAAGCAAGCTTAATGAACGTTAATATGTTCCGAACGCTCAAATATTTTATGCGATATCACACATTAAACGTTTTTACGGTGAATTGCAAGTAAGATCTCGATTTTGTGTTGTTTGTTGATTAATGTATTTGTTTTACTAGGTATCGCTTTTAAAAGATGTTTACTTTATAGGTTCCTGAACTTTGGTATATTGTGACTTTGTTGCTAATTAGAAATTTTTGAATCAGAGAGGTGCCACAGTATTTTACAGATTCTGGGTTCATTGGTTTCATATTCTGTCACTTAACTTAACTTTTATGTTTTGAATTCACAGGAAAGTAATCACAAAAACAACTTAACTGCTGTTTTTTGTTAATTTCTAATATCAATTTAGTCAGTTTTCTTTTCAAAATATATTGGCTTTACAACGGCTCCAGAACAAAAACTGAAAAATCACAGAAGTATTAAGTGGGCAAGGGTGTATAAAATCTATTGAATTATACTTTGCTATTTTTATTCTTTCTTTGAATGAATAATTTTCTGGTGTGTTGTTTACTTACCATTATTAAAATATTTTATTCTGTGGATTCTAAAGTAAGCGAAAGATTGCGTGCAATATATATATATATATATAAGTATCAATAAATATGGCTTATTCTCATGTAAGGTTTTTGTTCTTCATAATATTTTACCCACGTTACAAGCTTTAAATAATACATTTAACATCACTTTAGGTAAATTAAAATTATAATATACTTGAAATTGCTAGTAAATGATAATATCAATCAATTTGAATCTCTTATTTGGCTTAGCTGTTTTTTTATATAAACTTATATATATATATAATTCCGTGCTAGATATGGTATATTCTCACTGTAAATTTACACATTTGAATATTTTGTACACTACAAACACCATACCGAAAAATTTCGAAACAAATAAAATAAAGACAACTACATTTGTAAGTAAACAAGAACCTTTGTAAGAGGCACTTCTTAAAATGTCGAAGTTTATTTTAATTCTAGCCAACACAACTTTCTTGTTCTGAAACAAAATATTATTTTTGTTATATGTTTTCACAATCTGCATGCTGCGTGATTTGATTGGTTAACATCACACAACACAACTGGAAGTATTATTTCCTTCCATACATTTACATTTGAAAGAATAATTACTTAATGTTCACATTTCATGTTAATTCCAAATTACTACCGAAATTCAGTAGTTTATATTTTTTCTAATTGAATAGAGTTGTTTAAACATTTGTTTAACAACAAATAAAAGTTTAGAATGGTTTATTCTTTCATTGGGAGTGTATCTGTGAGCCAGACTAGTTACTTGTTGTTAAACAAATGTTTAAACAACTCTATTCAATTATGTACCATCTGCCTAGTGTTGGCTAACAATACGATGAATAAAATTGCTACAAGTTCTTCAAATACCTATAGAATGATAGGTTTCTTTTTTGTCAGTGTACAACACTTAAATACACCATTTCGATTTTTTTTAATGTTTTTCAAGATATGAATAGCATTTGTGTCTTTCAAATTTAGTTTTAAAACAAATAGTACAAATCGTTGTGTTTCCAGAATATTTTGAAATCTTCATCGTTAAAACACAAAAAATACAATTTCTATAGATTTTAAAAGTCCCGAAAGAAGATTTCATTATGTATACTTATAGTAAGATAAAATGTTAAAGACAATACACTTAGGGAGATAACTCGGTCATGGAATGATAATATTGTAGAACTGTAATACATCATTTAATAACAATTTTTGGGTATTCCAAAATGTTGTGACAAGATTTGTGTTCCAAGTTCTCTTTCCACAATTTTCTTCTTTCCTCGTTCTCAGTCTAGAAAAAAAATGTTGAAAGTTAATGAGTATAATACGTTTCAAAATATTTTATGATACATGTAACCCGAGTTGATTGTTGATTATTACGTACATTTAATCATTAGAGCTCGCGAACTTACTGAGTCCATCAAATGATCCACGCCTATGTATACTATATTTGAGGTACCCTAAGACTTTCTTTGACTTTCTATTAAGTCTGGGCTCACTCTTTTAATGACTTGTTTGTTTATCTTTAAAATGTTCGCGCACAGCTACAAAAAGGGGTATTTGCACAAAGTCGTTCCTAATTGTGAACTGACAGACTACAGGGAAGACAACCAGTTAACAGCACCCATCGCCAAATCTTGGACTTATATATATAAGTTTGACTTTGTGTTAAGTACAATATATAAAAATGCCCGTTTTGTGGCATTCGTTATGAGTGTAATCTAATAAATGTTGTAGTTCTAAATATTTAGCAGAACAATATGAAATATGTTAGTCACAATTTTTTAACGTTTTAAAAAAAAAAGTTACAAGTGTAAAAAAAAATTAAATCAAAAAATTAGGAAGTAAGAATGGGAGCACAAAAAAGTAAGGAAACAATGTAGGAATGAGCGGGATAACATTATAATACTTGGTGTTTTGTGACATGGTGTAACCTCAAAGTGGGTGTGACCATCGTTCCGCCCATTCCTACTTCGTGTGCTTTTTGTAATTTGGTAATTGTTCAAACTAAATGAGAGGTGTATACAGCTAAATTTCTCTGTTGTAAACTTTGTTTTAGCAACCAAGTACAAATACATGTAGCTAATAAAATTACGTGACCCTAACGAAATACATGACATGATAAGGGGAGTGTTTGATGTCGGAAGTCAGAAAGGAAGCGCCAATAGTCATACTTTGCTTGTGGGAGACATTATAGCTATCTGCTTGGTAAGGGGGGACCAAAGGAATAGTATCAAAACTGCTGATTTTGAAATTTTAAAATTTGTTGAGTATATAACTCAATTTAAGTCTATAATAGGATCAAAGTTTAAAGTAAAACACGAAGTAGGAATGGGTGGAACGATAGCCACACCCACTTTGATGTTGCAGTGTCAAAAACCACCAAGTATTGTAATGTTATCTCGCCCATTCCTACCTCCTAATTATTTTATTTAAAAAAATTACACTTGTCTCATATATTTTTGGTACTAAGTCTCGAGAGTGACTGTGCTCTAGGCTTATCCTTCCCTTAGCTTTTCTTGGAGCTAATTCTCGACAGTGACTGGGCTCTAGGCCTATTCTTCTCGTAACTTTTCTTTGAGCTGTCTCTCGACATTTCCCAACTTTTGTTAATATCTTTGTTATAGTTTTTCTTCCATCTAGCCAGGGGGGGGGGCAACATTTTCTTTGGCTGGATTAATGGCCAAGGCTTGTTTCGCATATTCAGCATTACTGTTTCTAACCTTATCTCTATTCGTGCAGTAATGCTGTCTTCACTGGGACAAAGACTTTTCAAGTTATCAACATAAGATTTTCTATTTTTTCTCTTGTTTTTTTTTTCCCTTGAGAGACATATTTTAAAAATCACACTGTTTCAAGTACAACCTTAGATGTCAATAGGCCACACTTAGTTTAAAAACAATGCAAAAGTAAATTATACAACTTATAATTCTTGTTTTAAGTCCAAAGCATTTGAGTAACGCCATGTCAGGCATCGGCAGTGGTATTGTTCTTTCTCACGTAGAAGACTCACGCCTTAGGCACTGACTGCTATCATAGAATTGCTGTGTCCAACACCCTCGAGTCAGATATAGAAGTGAAACGTCGCTTTCAAAAGTTAGATCATAGTTAGAACCTAGATCTAGAGAATATACATAGTCCACGTTTTTTATCTAGCTGATACAGCTGCAGGCTGATCACGTAGCGCATGTGCAAAAGCAATCGTGCAACTGCACGTGATATGAGGGTGGGTTGTTACTTGGCAACTCACAGAGCGTGCTCGTAATCATAGAATATGTCTACTAGTTTATTGTTAGCACATTAGTAGTGTTGTAAAATGGATATTGTTATTGCTTTTCATTACCAAGGTTATAAATAAAACTAGGAAATACGCTTTTAGCCAAGGTAGCGTAATTTAATCATGTGCATTTAGATTTGTCTAAGGTAAAGCTATGCTTTTCCAACAACATTAGTCAGTGAGTTAGTCAGATTGGTTTTGTGAAATTTTTGTTCTTACTTTACCGATTTTCTCAAGTGCTTTAGTGGCTTGCTACTCTGAAGTTGGTTTGTTTACTACTCAACAGTATGTGTAAAGTGCTTATAAAGTTTTGTTTACATACTGTTTGCAATGCGTTTGAGATTTTAATTTGTATTGCACATCTGGCCCAGTCCTACTATAAGTACTACCGTACTTATGATACTGGGATATATGTTTGTGAAAATGTCATATGACGAAAAATTTGTTTGATGCAAAGCCCAGGTGAATTTACTACACAACACTGGTCAGATCAGCTACATCTCAGATTTAGGAGCGTAAACACTTCACGTTAGAAGTCATTATGTAATTGTAGTAGTTTTCTATTATTATGAACACAAAGGTCAAAAATTAAAATCACAGTAAAATTCCTTGGATATGAGGTGAAAGTTGTGTTCCTTGATCCCAATTTTTAAAAATAATTAATATACTAGAGGCACACTTACAATGTAACGCCCCTCTCCCCTAAAAACGAACTTGAAGACAATTTTCTGATAATGATGTGACATAAATAGAGATCAAAAAACTGCATTGAAAACAACAAAGGCAAACCATTACAAATTATGTTTCGGTGGTAGGAAATGCCCGCTCCAAAATATCATTTTAGTATCATGAATGTCTATTAAATACTCTCGTGCAGTTGCACATCCCTGTTTTTGTTTTGTGGTTGGTCTGTTTGGTGGCTCATATGAAAATTCGAGTTTTCATATCCCAGATATACAGCTTTATGCTTAGAAAAATACAAACAAAAATAAATAATAATGTTTCTTCAGCTTAATTGAGGGTTTTGGATTAACTAAACATTGATTAAGCCAGTTTTTTTTATGAAACGTGAAAATAACGATAACCCTAATCAATACTATTACTGTATTAAAATTATAAACAATGCAAATTCAAGTGCCACTTGAATAAAAGCAATAGAGCAAATGTTTTAGCTTTTTCATCCTGGATTGGTATAGTGGTAAAGGAAACCATCTTATTTATCTTATGCTTTATACCTATACTAACTTAAAGTTAAAGTGGAATAGCTGGAAATGAGATTAGTGTAAGATAAATCACCTGTTCAGATACCTGGAAGGAATAAACTTCAGTAAATCATGATGACTGGGATCCCACTTGATAAATGATACTATATAAATGATACTGCTGATATGGGCATTAAAAACTTTTATGTAAAACACACAACAAGTAGCCCGGCATGGCCAGGTGGTTAGGGCACTCGACTCGCAATCTGAGGGTCGCAGGTTCGAATTTCCGTCCCACCAAACATGCTCGCCCTTTCAGCCGTGCGGGCGTTATAATGTACGGTCAATCCCATTATTCGTTGGTAAAAGAGTAGCCCAAGAGTTGACAGTGGGTGGTGATGACTAGCTGCCTTCCCTCTAGTCTTACACTGCTAAATTAGGAATGGCTAACGCAGATAGCTCAAGTGTAGCTTTGCGCGAAATTAAAAAAAAACAAACAAACGAACACATAACAAGTAACAATGTTTCAACCTCCTTTGGCTATCATCAGGTTAACAAAGACTTGAAAAAGCGACTGTTATTGATCATGTGCCATGAGACGACAATAAATATAGGTATAAGATTGTAGGGGCGCTGCATATATTTAATTTTATTATATATGGTAGTTAACAGTGTAACATCATATGTGAACACATTTAATGAAATAATTAATATAGGTATAAAAGTGTTCCTTTGGGGTGGTTCGATGTAGGTTTATGTTCTTGTGTTGGAAGAGCTCTTTACATTTTTCGTTTGTCTACATTTGCTTCTCTGTTTAATATATTAGAGTTTTGTATGGTTGTACTGTGTTTATTTGAGTTACAGTGTTCAAAAACCTCTTTAAATAAAGGTTTTTAATACCCATATCACCTGCCTCTAATATATAAATCTTCAGTAAGTGACCTGTTACATTGTAGATCTTTATATACATTAGCTAACTTTAGTAAGTTGATCTTTTACATTTTAGAACTTTTATAAATTTAGGATAACTTCAATAAGTTGACCTGTTACATTGTGGAGGCTTTATAAACTTAAGATAATTTCATTAAGTTCATCTGTTACATTATAGATCTTTATATATGTAACTGTGCGAAAGAATTATATGTACTTTTCAAATAAACTATTTCTGATCTGTCAATTACAAAAAAGAGTCTAGTTAAAAACTCAGTATACATAACATTACCTTTTCTAATGATGAGTGTAGTCGGACTCCATTTCCAAGTGAGACCAACTGATTTTGGCCAAGGAGGAGCTTGTCCTGGAAAACTGGGGTGATGCGTCACATTGTGAATAAACTTTTCGGTACTCAGTGTACTCCTTAGCACTACAGAGAGGGGTTTCTACCTCAAAAGTATTGTTAAATTTCCCATAGTCTACAACATAGTCCCCAGTTTCCTTGCTGTACGAAACTAATTGTTCAAATCGATGACCCCAGAGGATCTCATTTGGAAGATAAGAAGATCGTGCTTGAAACGATTGTCCAGTTGATTCTATAGTTCCTTCTAAAATGACAATAATCTCAAACTTATCCTTCATCATATCTTCTGCCGCCATGGTATAGAACGGACTTCCTTCATTTATCTCATGTGTACAGATTGTTGGCCAGATAAGAAGTAGGTTGTCGTTAGTCTGATCACATTTAATGTCGATCCAAGAATAAAAGTAAGGGATCACTTCACCCTCAGCTGTGATCTTTTTTCTCACCAGTTGAGCAGAAATGTGAGCACCAATGATGAGTGATTTACGTAAATCTCCCACCCGAAACATCAGACACATTTTACCATCTCGAACGGAAACGATTGCATTGCGACTAAACACCAGAGTTTGTTGTCTTTTCTTTGGCCTAGAGAATTTTGCAAATACCATACCGACAATGAAAGATTGAATCATAACACCCGTTATTGACTGAATGCACATAATAAATATGGCTTCTGGACATTCTTCATTGATCATACGATAACCATAACCAATCGTGTGCTGGGTCTCGAGGGAAAAGAGAAACGCTGACGTGAAGGATTTGATATTATGAACACAAGGTTCCCAATCATTTTCACCTATGTGTTCAAAATCTCCATGAGCATAGTTAATTAGCCACCAAACCACTGCGAAGCCAAGCCAAGTAAGAATAAATCCCATAGCGAAAATCAGTAAATTCCATCTCCACTGTATATCAACGAGAGTTATAAAAATATCTTGAAGGTACCTCTGACTTCGTTTAGCGACGTGCTGAACTGACGAATTTACAGCTCCGTTTTTTAAAATTAATCTTTTGCGATAACGACTAGGAAGAACTCTATTCTGTTTGTATTTATTATTACATTGAAAAGCGCCCTCTTCAAGCAAATGTTTCGCTAACGTCTTTTCTCTGGTCGGTCGTTCACTTTCGGAAACACTTGAAGGTACGCCCATATTTATATCATAGTTACTAAGTTTTTGACTTGGTATCAACTCTTGCCAAACTGTAGCTCTATCCATATTCAGCAGTATTTATAAATCTTACAAGATACTCGCGGCAAATTTCTCAGTATACTTATTAATTTGTGTCTTGTTTTTCTGTTTGTGTTTTAGCACAGAGACGTTGTTCGTGTTGATTTACAACCAGTCTTTTGAAACAAAATTTGTATTATATATTTGTTTCTCCCAAATACCATGAGCGTGGTATATCTACTTCCAAGTGTTCGTGCTGCTTCGTATGTCCTTCGATGTGTATAGATTAGCAATTACATTTTTCAACTCCAATATCCTGTAAGTATAATAAACTATGTTATTTAACATGTAATTCTGAAATAATTATTAAACTCAAAAAGAAATAAACGTGAAAATAAAGTTGTGGCATGGCTTAAAATATTGAAACCTCGAGCTGATCATCCTTTAAAGAATTCGCCCTGAATGAGAACGCGAAATTGAAGGAGTTTGTTTCTCAAGAATGCTTAATTAGCAACGAAACAGCAAGTCTACATGACTAGGTTTTTTTTTGTTTTTTACATGACCTTGCATCATCGTTTTAGCTTTAGCAGACATATGACAATACCTTTTAACTTATTACATATAAAACAATAAGCTTTAGTTGTTTTACTAAATATGTAACGAGAACGTTAAAATTCATTGGATATGGATTAATAATCCTTTAAGTTTACTGAATTTGTATTAGTAGCATTTAGTGTTACTGAATGTGTAAAAATACCCTTTAGATTAAATAAAACATATTCCAAAGCTTCTATATTTATAAATATGGAATCAAAGCCTTGAAGAAATAGACGTTAGGCTTATTAAATAAGCTACAATAGCTTTTGCGTATATTGATTGTGTTCTAATAGTCTATAAATTTACTGGATGTGTAATAATATCACTAAACGTGTTACTTAAACAAATTAAAGATATTTTCTGACTATGTAATGGTATTGGTTATCGTACTGAAAAGTCGGCATAAAAACTTAAACATAAAATATCTAGTGACAAAAATAACATTGAAAATGGTCAATGGTCAAAATTATAACATGCTTTTATAACACAACTTAATGTTCTGATGTAACCTCAGCCAAGAACATCTTAAACGGGGTATGAAATGCGTTTATCTTATATATTTCCCGGAATAATCGTTGACAAGTATACAATAATGAAAGGAAACACGAGATTTGTTATTCTACACCCTCAAAATTTTGACATTATATAGTCTGTATGCATACGAAAGATAACTAAACTTTTTCTTAAGAATAATAGAAATTTATACCACGCAACAACTTAAGTCATGCTGTTTTCATGTAACCCTGTACTTTTCTATATAAGTTTAGGTTTAAATTCAGTAAGGCATTGTCGCAAAGACACTACTAGTTTTTAAATACTGACCTGAAAAGTTACCTAACTGAAGAATTCTAGGTATATATAAGTGGAATCTGAGCTGGTTTCATAACATTTATCCTGGAAAAAGGTTGTGTGAACTTAAGATATCTAGATATATCCAAAGGGAGACTGAGTTAGTTTAATAACATTTATCTTGAAAAAGGTTGTGTGAACTTAAGATATCTCGATATATCCAAATGGAGACTGAGTTAGTTTAATAACATTTATCTTGAAAAAGTTGTGTGAACTTAAGATATCTCGATATATCCAAAGGGAGACTGAGTTAGTTTAATAACATTTATCTTGAAAAAGGTTGTGTGAACTTAAGATATCTCGATATATCCAAAGGGAGACTGAGTTAGTTTAATGACATTTATCTTGAAAAAGGTTGTGTGAACTTAAGAAATCAAGATATATCCAAAGGGAGACTGAGTTAGTTTAATAACATTTATCTTGAAATAAATACTTATTTTCTTCTATAGGATTCACTTGTGACTACAATTGCAAAAACCTGTATATGTTAAGTTACAGATATTTTGAGTCCTACGTTAAATGTAAAAAAGATCAGCTGTGTCTGCTTGTTCATATTTAATTATGCTTCAGTCTAATGTTCAAAAACCAGCTTTGACTCCCTGCTAATAAACCCCGATTTGTTCAGTTACAGAAGTGTGTTCTGTATTTAGATAGAAGTTGTGATTCTACTGGTAAAAACCTTGATTCTTTCATTTACAGAAACTTTTCAGTTTAGTGTCAAATGATGTTTAACAATGAGCTGTGTGAAACTCCTCTTCTTAAAACCTGGATATGTCAGTTACAGGAATTTTCAGATCAATGTTAAGTGTATATGAACAAGATGTCATTTTTCATGGCCGCACCTGGATATGTTAAGATAAAAACTTTAACTTCACTTGAATGCGTCTCGATATGTTCAGTTACAGAAATGTAACTTCATCTGAATACACCTAGATATGATCAGTTAGACAACTTTAACTTCACTTGAATAAACAGGAACACATTCAGTTAGAGAATTTTAGCTTCATGTGGAATACACCTATATGTGTTCAGCTAGAGAACTTTAGCTTCACCTGAATACCCCTGGATACGTTCATTTAGAGAACTTTAACTTCGCTTGAATACACCTGAATATGTTTAGTTAGAGAACTTTAACTTCACCTGAATACACCTGGGTATATTCAGTTGGAGAACTTTAGCTTCACCTGAATACCACTGGATACGTTCATTTAGATAACTTTAACTTCACTTGAATACACCTGGATACGTTCAGTTAGAGAACTTTAACTTCACTTGAATATACCTGGATATGTTCAGTTAGAGAACTTTAACTTCACTTGAATATACCTGGATATGTTCAGTTAGAGAACCGTAACTTCACCAGAATGAACTTAAAGTTGTCTGTAATGATTAATAATAAATAAAATGTGACCAGTTGACCTTGGTGTACAAATATTCTAATCCTACATTTCTGATAGTAAACAAGTAATTGTTTTTAAGTGTTTCGTAACCTAAGATTTCTTTAAATTTGAAATCAAGTCAGACTGAGGTAGTAAGTAGGTCTTTTAAAATAGAAATATAAACCATCTGTGAATCTAAAGAAAAAGTTTATAAGTTTAATCCCAGATAAATTGTAAAGATATTATTTCAAAAAGGTTATATTATTATTATTTGTACTTACGTAATCACGTGTTTGTTTTCCTGATAGCAAGGTGTTGCACAGAAGAGCCTCAAACAGGATGAACAGGTTGCTCAAATTAGATTTAGATGTTGATTTTACTTTAACACTTCTTACGCATACATGTGTGTGTGGGCAATTTTAGAAAAACAGAAAAATGAGTTCTCCAGGCATATGAAATGCATTTAAATGAATCCACTATATGTATTTCGGAACAACTTAAATATATCTAGTGGTAGTAAAATAGATTATTTAGAAACAATATGTTACATAACACAAATTTACGTTGAGTAAGAAAAAAAGAAAAAACGTTTCTATGTTTAAGAAAAGGAAACACACATCTTTTGGTGTTTTTCGTTTTACAGATCGTTTTGCTAGCGGAACAAACTAAACATACACAAAACAATCCATTGAAAAAGATTGGAGAAACAAACTACACTCTCATAAAATATTCGATCAAACAAGTTAAACAACAAACTAACTTCCAGTCTTATTCTACATTATTCCATAACGAGGTACATATTCCCCTTCCGACGAATTAAAACTCCCTTTAAATTATCTTTCCAATTAAGCCTAAATCAATGGGAATATTGGTTTTCTAATCACTCTTCAAAATAACTATAGCTTCTGCGATTGCTTGTTAATACATATTTTATATGTTTGGTTTCCACCCCACGACAAAACACAGTTTAATTTTTACCCATCGATTTCTCTCACCCTCTTTAAGATAGTATGGACTTGTGTACGAATACGAGTTTAGCTTAACAAACTTGATCATGAGCATATTCACAACGATATTCTTCGACACCAACTGAATATTTCTCTGTGACAAGTCTATCGAAACCGGACTCGTTTGTTAAGCAAGCCTGCTGATTGGATGGGCTTATTATTCGTCATTGAACACTCTTGGGACCTCAGTGTTTCACGTGACCAAGATTAAATCTTAGTAACTTAGAACATACTAGATCCTTCGAAAAGCAGAGTACTAATCAGATGTATATATATATATACCTTGATGACTGTCGTTATATCATTCTCTGAATTAAATCAAGTCACGTTCTAGCAAGAGTGCAAGTATTTTTCTCAGTTGCCATAGCGCCTGGGTTATGAATTTTTCACAAATAGTAAGGGAAGCGTAAAAACCTAACTTATCACATTCTGGACTAGACTTCTAACGCAGGTTATTGGACCTAAATATTTGGTTCTTGTTCTGCACGTAGGCGATCAAAATCGTGGGGTTTCACGCTGGACTAATTAGTAATAAATATTGATATACATTACACTAAATACAAAATTTAAAACAGCAAAACAGAGACAAGAAAATACAAATTAAACAAATATGGTTTTTCTAAAAATCATTAACGTGTTTGAATTACGAACAAATCATAATTATATTATAATATTTGAGAATACTTATGTGACAGATTATTACAAGATTTGTTTGTTCATCTGGATGACACCTTAGTGACACAATGGACTAAACGACCAGGTCAGAGGCCCCATTGGTTCAGGTACAGGCCTTAATTTTGAACAGTTGATCAAAGAGAAGGCAATCAGCCGATAACACCCGGCTCCTGAATCGGATACTTCTAACCGAATAGCGGGATTGAGTCTTATATAACACCTACGGCTGAAGGTTCAAAACATATTGGGCAGCACCACGTTCGAGATCCTCGGACTCCCAGTCCGACACTGTCATTACTAGCCTCATATTCAGACCATTTTTTACATGGATAACGAAGTTCTCAAATATTTTAAAAAAATTGACAAATTTACGAAATATTTTAATTTACAAACCACGTTTTAGTGTTTTATAGCATCTTTGTAACCGAGGTTTACTTGGATAAGCATTTGATGGATATTATTGTGGAGCAATCATGAAACACAAGTTTAGTGCGTTATGGTTATACCAACTCTTTGAACATTATTTTCTTGTATACATAAAGCTAAATCAAAACGTTACACGTTACAGTGTATGTGGCTACGTCTGGTTATGTTCTATTTGAAGACCGTGCCTCTTGACAATAGCCTTGCAGCGTGGTTTCAATTGCTAAAGGCTTTGTCGTTAGGCTGTCATGTCTTAAGCACACCACTCCTCCTTAGTGTACGAGGTTTTTCTAGCGCCTGTGCCAACATGTAGTTCAATCATACAGAAACAGAATCCATAGGCGTTGCGTCTGGTAAGTTGACTAGCATGTCCATGTATGGAATACCATCGTCCAACTACTTGTGGTATGCAATGGTTGAACATGATTGTAAGTCTTATCTTGGTTAACCCATAACAGCCTGTTGGCCTTTTTAACACACTTTCATCCTTTTTGATTATGTTGTGCACTGCTGACAATTGGAACACTTTTGCCACTGATCTTCGTGTTCGTGGATTCTCACCTGTTACAAGATGACACACGTTGCTTATCACGGCTGGGGTAAAATTTCCATCAGGTCTCGTTACGGATAGTCCAGGTGCCCCAGATTGATCCATACATTAGTTGTCTAATGCTACTAAGTACAAGGGATTCTAAATTCCCAATCTGAATACATCTTTATGATCTGAGTGTATGAATATTTTATTTTAGAAAGGGTTGTTACAAACCCTCCCCAAAAGCGATCAATTTTCAGTGCCATCACACTACCAAAGAAACGCTAAACAATGTCAAAACGTAATTCTTTCTGATGCATTCCGTTCCACCGCGACTTTCTATTGGCTTTGGTTGTCACGTGAGTTGCTGATTTGTATATTCAAAATCGTTTTAATATAACATACTCAATCCTGTATGTGCATACGTAATTGTTACAACGACTTTAAGCAGTGAACTATAGTTTCTATCTGATAAAGATAATTTAACTGTTTCCATATTTCCAGATTTTACAGTGTGGTTGCTGCATTATTTTGTTATGTGTGTTTTTCTAGCACATATTAATAAATATTTAATTTTGTTTGGATTATGTTTGGCTTAGGAAACCCGCATTAGATCAGAAAAATGGTTCTCCAATTAACTGATCTTATAATTTTCTGTATGAAACTTACAGTGAGTGTCATTTTAAGGTATTTTTAGCAAAATCTCGAAAATGATGTTCTAATTATCGAGAATTTTCGTTAAAAATTATTTTCCTGTAAATTATGTAGAGGAATGCAAAAAGTTTGAATGTGCAATAAGATCAAAATTTAACTTTTGTTTTATTGAAAGAAATATTTGTAGACCCATGTCTTTTACCATTTTACCAATGCTAAATAGTTGGAGTTAATAAGGTGTAAAACGAAGACAATAACGTAATTCGTTCTGCTTTTGGTACTGCTGATAAATTTATTGCATGAAAATCAAATTAAATATTCGTGAAATTTTATGAGTGATATATCGTTACAAATTTAGTTTTTTGTTTGTTTCAGAATCAAGAAAAGTTTAGATCTGAGGATACAGAATGACAATGAAATATGTAATTTCAACCTATCGCATATCCCTAGGACGTGTCACCTTGTGGAATTTGGCTATGACAGATATTTGACTATGTAATTTCAACCTATCGCATATCCCTAGGACGTGTCACCTTGTGGCATTGGCTATGACAGATATTTGACTATGTAATTTCAACCTATCATATATCCCTAGGATGTGTCACCTTGTGGCATTTAGCACACTCACGTTTTGACAATGTCCTTAACAAATTCTCCAGAATGATAATTAGTACTTAAGCTATACGTTTTAGGTTGTCCTATAATAGTACTTGCTTAGGCCTTATTTATTACTAAATAAAAATCTTTGATTCATCCTAATATTTTTTTGTTTTTTCAATGTTACATAAGCACCGTCTATGACTGTTATTGTTTTATGTCTTTATGCAATAAACAGCTGGTTGCCCTCTCTCTCACTACTATTTCCCCTTTTCGTTCATTTAATATGATATAATATAATCTAAATCTATTAGAAGAGTACCATTGCAAAGTTTTAAAAATGGAGACCATGAAGTTGCGAAACGTATACAAAGCTGGCTAATGAACGGTTTTCTTTTTAGGCTTAACAAAAGTGGTTAAAATCACACTTGACTGTAGATATTTTTTTTATTCACACTCATTTTAACTACTTCCTTTAATTAAGGATTTCGAATCAAAAACGTTTAAAAGTAGCATTTGAAATTATCTTTTGTCTACTACAAGTCATTGCTGAAAACCAGAACTCATCAACTGAGCTGGAACTAATGGCAAATCTATATTTGTAGCACTCAGTTCTGCACATAGGTTGTTAAAGAAAATGAATCCAGATGTAACTAAGTAAATAACATGAATAAGTACTTGAAGAAAATAAAGCTAAGCTCAAAAGAACTTAAATAAATACCCAACTACTTACATGCAGTTTATAACGATGAACATAGGTCGCTTCAGGATATGATAATGAACCTAATTTCGTAAAATACAGTGTTGTTAGAATCACCTAGCCAATCATCATGTCTGCAGTTTCCATGTGCAGCTCTCCAATCATCACACAGATTCAACACCATAGTAAATAATTTTTGTCTTGCAATATGCTTTGTCATATGACTAAAATCATATAATGATTATGTTAGAATAAGTTAGCACGACCATAGTACACGTATATCGACTCAGATCCCGCTTATCATGAGTGTTATTAAAGTGATCTCACATGTATCTATGACGATGCAGTATTATTATTTCTATTCTAGTAATTCTAACTGGTAAAAAGCTAGATAAGTCGCAAATATAAAGACAAACTGTATCTTCACACGCTCACATATATTTATGTATGTATGTATTAGTGCATGACGAATGAGCGTGTGAAAGGATGAAAAGTTTTTAATAAGTTACCAGTTGGAACCGTTAAAGCACTAGCTATATATACATTTTGACGATATTTGAACTTAGCGCGTTAATCTGGTCAATAATAGGTCAAAAGTTGTCATTATTTCGTTTACTTATATATGCATGTGTGCACGTATATTAAAATACTCGATTGATGTCGCCTATATGACTTAAACAAGAAACTGGATTCATAGTAAACTAAATTAGTGAATTTAATTATAGGTAAGAATCAAATACATGATTATTATTTGATTTAGACATAGAAACCAGTGTAAACATGGAAACTACCTCAATTAGCTACAGATGGTAAATATGGTGACTTGGTTATTTGTAAGATCCAAATTATTTGATAATGATACTTTATAAATGGTGTCTACCCGTCTAAATTGGCGATCAAATAAATACGGTACCTATTTCAGTTACTTGGGGACGAGAACAATTTTATTTGTTGATGATAAGTTAAACATGATTACTACCGATTTCTTTAGGGCTAAGTTCCAAACTAAGTGACTGTTGGTAATGTAACATGCCGATTTCCTACGTGATTTAAGAATGTTAAGAACTCATGAAAGTTAAACATGATTACTACCGATTTCTTTAGGGCTAAGTTCCAAACTGTTGGTAAAGTAACATGCCGATTTCCTACGTGATTTAAGAATGTTAAGAACTCATGAAAGTTAAACATGATTACTACCGATTTCTTTAGGGCTAAGTTCCAAACTGTTGGTAAAGTAACATGCCGATTTCCTACGTGATTTAAGAATGTTAAGAACTCATGAAAGTTAAACATGATTACTACCGATTTCTTTAGGGCTAAGTTCCAAACTGTTGGTAAAGTAACAT